ATTTATCGTCCGGTCTGTTCGGTTGCACACGATAAAAAAAAAACTTTGCAAACGATAATTGCTAATCTTCGATCGACCTTGATGATTCTCGAAAAATGTTCTTCCTTCCTTGCTCAACCTGTAGGAGTTAAACTTTTTTATTTTATTTATTTATTTATTTATTACGAGTGAGTCACGTAGACTGAAATGCACTTGTCCCTGACGAAATCGCCTTTCACGATCGTGATCATTGAAGATTAAATCCATTTTACAGTAAACCTTTCTCTTATAAAATTCATTTGACGCGTTTGATTTACAATGAATTGCATAAATTGACAGGAATCTTTAAAAAAAATAAAAATGAAACAAAAGTTATCTTATTAAAATAATAATTTGTTTAGTGTTAAACTCTGGAGAAAGGAGCAAGTTAGCATAGTCGATTCACTTTGCAAGGGCAGCGATCCTTTTTTCGCTCGGACTCGCAAATGAAACTGCATATGCACTTTCCTCGGTAAGAGATGAAGGGAGTAAGGGTTGAGGGGTGAGGGAATTAACTCTGCTCGTATTACGGATTCGTAATGCGAGCTGATTTCGAGGCGATATGTGGCTCACCGCTTAGATATTGAAGACCAATGTATCTCCTCGCATACTGTGGCCAAAACTAATACTAATACAACTATTTTTATTATACGAGTACAAAAGTCAACTAAAGATGATCGAAGGTTCCTAATATTTCTAATACCTGTAACGATCTACTTTTTCGTGATAGACTACTTCCTGTCTGCTTCGTGTCGACTTCTTGAAATGCCTAATCTCCGAACGAGAGACTTCTTCAGCGCACCAATTAACTCTGCCGTGTTTCTAAGCTATTAGAACGTGCCAATCCAAGATAAACAGAAATATAAAAACGTAAGAAAGAAAACAAAACAAATCGTAACGTCTCTACGTTTCCGAGAACAAGCAAAAGTATTTTCTAAAGTAGGTCACGCAAAAAAAAAAAAGATATTTACAAATGATTTCGACTCTTATTACGATGATCCACGAAAACCGTTGGATCATGATATAGATCTTTATTTGAATTCATTTCGAAAGCGAGTTTGATTCTATACCGTAACGATTTAAGTGTGTTTCGAATCTTTTTTCTTTCTATATATAACACAATTAGGAAAAAATTAAATACTGCGAGTAAGTTGATCATTGTAATTTTAATGACATCAAATTTCATTGAATCTTTCTGTAAACGCGTAACAAATTTTTCTACATCATACGTATAACGTTACTGCAAACAAGTAAATAAATAAATGAATAAATTAACCGAAACAAATATTCTCTGCAAATGTTTTTTTTTTTTTTTTTTCATTTTTATCTAAGGAAACAATTTGTTGTACACGTAGTGTAAATAACTCATGGTGACTCATAAATAAAATTTATAGGGTAGAACGCATCTCTGGCAAGAGCAACGAAGCATACCGCAACGTCGACATAGACTACTCTACTACCTACAACTATATCTCAACATACATACATATACAGAAATGATTATAAACCTGTGCTTCCATTTTCATATGAATGCAATCGCGAAAAGAAATGAGACGAGGAGGAAAAAGTTCCGTGGATCTTAGCAGGTGCCATTACCGTTCTCTGTTGCTGTGATAAATATTGAAAAGGAAAAGCGCATTCGATGCATAATCGTGCTCTTTCTCTCTGTTTCAAGGCACTTTCCTGACAATCATGATCGAGCATTACGAGCATATAATACTTCTGGGTCGAACTTGGTACAGAATCATTGGCGAAAGACTTGATGAGCTTACTTACTATGTTCAAAGCATAATAAACAAGAATAGATACAGGTCGTGTAATTTCTACTTTTTGTTTTTTTTACAAATCTCGATGTTTATCATAATAATTTCGTTCTCAAACAAAGGTTTTCCGACATACAGGGGACACGCGGAAAGATCTACAATTATACAACACAAGAGAAATACCAAAGTAACGGCTTCGTTCTTGCGTATTATCCTCGTTACCTGGCCTAAGCTGACCTAATTTTTAACAAGCCTACCACCGATAAGTATCAAGACAAAATTGGATCGTCCAAATACGATGATGCTATACGATCGATACAATTTAACAGTCAATTCATATACGATTTGATAATTAGCCGGAACAAAAAGAGAAAAGTAAAAATATATATATATGAAAATATTAGAATTAATCGAAAAGATAAATCGTGAAAAAACGCACGTAAAATGCTTTCCATTTGGTTACATAAGTTGAACCTTTATTATTCGTGGATCGATAAACATACCACGTGTATAGAAAACACAGAAACTTTAATTAAACTGTCCGGAAACGTAGGGGACCCCGTAGACTAATCGGAAGTGCGTGCGATATTACTTTCCAACTTCTTATTTAATGCACGTAATTCATGTATACATATGTGTTGTTATGTACATATGGTGTGTAGTTCATACGTATCATAAGTTTATTTAAATGGCATGCCAAATCATAGCATGTCGATCACGATCATGCTCGAATAGGAAAACGCTATGAAAATGTTTGAAATGTATTTGATCGATCATTAATTCATAAATTAGAATAGGAATTTTATGATTTGTATTCATCGACAAAATAATTCAATTGACATGAAACGGTATTGTTTGGATATTGCATTTTTTCTATTATTATTCTCTGCATATATAATATAAGGAAAGAAATAAGAAACATTCTCCTAAGATATCTTATAAGATTGTGCTTCCAACGTAATCTCGATTAAGTTTAAACCCATTGTCGTTGTGAATTAAAAAAGAGGTGACGTTAACGAGACATTAAGCTAAACTAACACATTTGCAAGGATATTTTTAGTGCTATGCAACGTTGGCTTCAGGAAGCACACTCGTACTTTCTCTGAAATGGCACCGTACCTATGGGCTATCTTCCGTCTTCCGGATGCAATTATTTCTCTTACAATTAATAGTCGAATTTATCTTTGAGCTTTGTCTTTCTTCTTCTTCTTCTTCTAACGGTAACAATGTTCAACGGTGTCTGATTTTATGTCATCGCGATAAAAGACAATTTTTTATGGGATGTAGGTAGGTAGTAACACCATGTTCCGTGTAAAACTAAATCATTGAATAGGAACAAACGATTCTTACGACTCATTGCATAGATCGTTTGATTTCATTACATTACATTTTGCGCCTACATCCTGTAACTATATGCAAATATATCAAAACAAATAGATCTTTTTTTGAAACTCGTTAGACTACTTTTTACTCATTAACTACAAGTCTAAATCATCTAGGAAGCTTCAAATAATAAATAAGTATAATAATTAAATTTCTGCATTCTCTGTAACTGTAAGATACTTTTTACTTAGGTCAAAAATAAGGTGACAGACAAAATGCAGAAAACTAGGAGAAGAAACAATCGAGTAGACAATCCAGACGGGCAGATAGGCAGGTAGGCAGGTAGGCAGGTAGGCAGGTAGGCAGGTAAACAGGCAAGTAAGCAGGCAGAGCGTGGTACCGGGCATTGTCTTTGATGTTGCGTTGCTTAAGTGCCTTGTTTCCACGCTTTCGTGGCTTTCTGTTCATTGCTGTATTGCCTCCCCCTCGGTGACTTTGGTCTATCTGTCTCCATGTTTTCCAATTTATAATTTAAGCTAGCCTTTTATTGTCAAAATATTATTTACAAATGTACCGGTTACATCGCGTCTCAAATATTTCCATTATTTGCACATACGTCTAACGTGTATATTTTTTGTATATACGTAAAAAAAATGGGAAGACATAACGAAAGAAAAAAAAGAAAACGAAAGTTCGAAATCAGTGAGTAGGATGGATTTACGTACGCGTTTCTCCATCAGAAGATTTCGCTGAAATCAGAGCACCGATCTACGAGAGACAAGACGAGACATTTCAAATACACTTTTCACGAGATGAATGCAACCAAGCGAGAGATTTCATTGCATTGGAAATTGAATGCACTTGCAGAGTTTGCTTTTTTTTTCCTCTACACGAATTATAAATAGTTATAAAAATATTGTAAGCAATCCGATAACATAGTACATATAATATTACATTTTAGTCATAATAATATAGAATAATCAAACTAATCAAAACTCTAATATTGTTTGTTAAACTAACCCAATATTATCTATCTTACTTTATATTACTATATTTTATTATATATATATAATAATATAATAATAAAGTATAGTATTATATATTATACTAGTATGTATTGTTGCAGTTTAGTCGGCCAAGCGAAACTTCTTCCGCCTTTTTCAAGTTTCGTAATGTATATATTTTACCCCGCAACCCCGACTCTTTGCTTTTATGCACATATGTATACATATTTACCTATATGTGGATGTGTATGTGTRTGTGTGTGTATGCATGCAAGTTGAAAAGAACGTTTAAATGTAAAAAAGACCGTACAAGTTCTCACTACTGTTTTATGCGATTGCAATTGCGATTGCTTGCAACGTGACAGATAACGTTTCAGAGCTCTGTAAAACCGTAATTACGAAAATTCGCACGTTTCTTTAGATATATATATAATATATATATTGTTCGCACCTTTGTTATTATTTAAAAAATTCATTAGAATTCGAAATGATACCGTTAGAAATGAATTTGGAATGAAACAAATATTGATCTCAGAATATAAAGAATGTACACACAGAGCGAGATAAAAATCAGATTACATTTGACAAATGAATATATTTTTATATATTCATTTCCCACATTTCTTCACATAATCGTTTATATATATATATATAGTGTAATGCAACCGAGAGATCGTATGAAAGTTCTAAAGCCATTATTCTATCAACTATTGTAACTAATCCTTCTTCTTCTTTCTCATCTTTTTGTTAGGACTTATAATAAAAAGCTATTTTGATCTCAGACTGTAGATGTACCAAACGAGGGTGATGTTACTAATGAATTTTTCAAATAAATACAAGAAAAAACATATAGGTAAAAATAAAAGAGTGCAACAGTGCAATTGAAACTTACAATCTGACTCACCTCCAGTTTGGCGGCATATTCTTCGGCTAATAACTCGCTTTGCCTGGTTAATTCTTGATTTCTTTCGAGCAAGGCCTTGCCAAGTTCAGCGGCGAGAACAAGATCCCTTTCACGTTGCTTCAAAAGTTCACTTGGATCTTGAAGAGTGTCCTCGTGATCGAGTGAACTTCTTCTTGCTTGTAAATCCGATATCATATCTTCGAGAGCATAAGGCTCCACTTGTTGTTGGCACTCCTTCTTCTTTGGCAGCATCCTCTCCGAATTTGTCAGAAATTCTTCTTAATAAATCACCACTAACCGATCAAATTATTCGATGCAACGAATAAATAAAATAATGTCAAGCTAGCTAACGTTATACATCGATCCATCTTCCAAGCTATTGTTCGTCATTATTTCTAATTTCATTTATTATTTTACGTATAATAATATGTCAGAATATGCTTACTTCTTTATAGTAGAAATTATAATAGAATAACATTTATGTTGAACGTCAATTTTTTCGTAGAAGTATTAACAAATGATGACGAACAAAACACGTTTAAAAGGAACATAGAAACACACACATATATGTATATATATACACTGCACTTCACGAGCTTGCTTATTACCACGTATGTATCGCCAGGTAATGACTCACCGTGTGCACGCGTCCAACGGAAAATAAATATTACGGAATAGTAGTTGATTTTTTCTTTTTTATTTGATAACAAAATATATAATGACAGGTAAAGAACTGACGTGCGCGGACGCTCGAAGTGTACTGCAGTACCGTCGGCGCTCCTAGTACTCCCGCGCACGAGGTGACTCGAAGATAGACGAGTTCGGCCGAATTCAAACGAACGACGAATCCGCCGGCTCTTAACCTACGAAATTAAAACAATTTAAGAGGGGATGCATTAACGCGCATTGCGGTTCAAATATGTATATTTAAATGCAATGACATGTAATTAGCTTATTGTTATATTAATTAACGAGGAAATTATGTTTTCATTAATATATTATATATATACATATATTAATTACCCACATACTTATACGTTAGCATTATTCTTATCGTGTATATATATACACTTTAAATGTATTTTATAACAGTATATTTGCATATCTCGAAATATAGTTAATAAAAATCGTAGTTAAACATTATACAGCATAATCGATTAGTTGAAACGCGTAAACACCTGACAAAGGCTTCAGCATTCTATTCCCGATCGACCCGGCCACCAACATTCCCCACCACCGACGAACTAATCGCATGGATGACCGACTCCAGGGTTCTAACATACCTTCCCCCACCAATGTACTCGACACCTGGCCGAGCAGTCAGCCACCTGAGTCGATTGCACCAAAATTGTAGATCATATCGGAGACTCGTCCTCGCATTCGTCATTTTTTTACAAACATTTATTTTTATTACATTTATTCTAAAGCTGATTTCTAAACGAACATCCTTTTATTACCATTATCTCGATAGAACTAAAACTCGGTTGATTTCATAATTAAATTACCTCGTAAGCAAAAAGAAAACAATAATAATTACGAGTTCACGCTCTTACGCCAGAATTAAATGACGCAAACTCCAGACTTTCTTCGTCATCCGTGTCCAAGTGGAGTCCAAGAATGTAATGATCCTGAACCCACAACCATGTTTTATATAACATTGAGCAAAACCTTAACTAATAGATGCAACCCTGTTGTCTTGATAAATAGATGTAACATCTATCTATCTCTCTCACTTTCTTTCCTTGTCTTTCCCTTTCTCTTTCTGTTTCTTTCTTTAAAAATTTCGAGACGATACATACCTAAAACGGTGCCTGGCAACCGAGAAAATCAACAAAAAGAATGGACACATACATAGGTACACAACAGCTGTCGAAACTCAGCAATAGACAGCAGATGTCTTTCTCAAATGTCGTTGATCGACATAACTGAAGATCTAAAAGAAAAAAAAAGAATAGATATCAAGTATCTTTCGAAACATAATCTTCCAAAATAATCACAACAGTTCTCGACCAAACTATTACAATTGAAAGATACGGAGAAAGTATAAATTGTGAAATATAAAAATGCAATTTTTAAGAACTAGTAGTGCAGTTAAAGGAGCGTTAGAGATGGAGACGATGCCAGAAGTCGAATTAACAAGATTAAGGAGGCAATATAGAATAATGGAAAATGATCGTTTGAAATGTGCAGAGGAAGGTGGTCTTCAGCTTCGTAATCAACAAATTATGATTGCTCGATTGGAGTATGAGAAAGCTGAATTGTTGCTTGCAATTAGATCAGCTAAATCAAAAAAATTTCTTAAGAAAGATGAAGCAGACGATATCAAATTAAAAGAGTTATTCCAGCAACGTTCCAAATATATTGATTCTATCAAGTCCGAAAAACAACAAATTAGTGAATTAAATAGGCAAATTAGGCAGGTCACTGGTATTGCCATTATATATATATATATATATACTCTTCCATCTATTTCTTTTTCAATAATCTTATGATAACTTAATTAATCCTAACTTAATAATACAGATATCGAAAGAAGTTTCAATGTTAAGAGGAAAGAGTGTAACGGATGTACAATCCAAGGAAAATGCTGTGAAACATAATAAACTTGTGTTTATATTGGAAAATCGATTAGAAGTAGCTACGAGGAGATTTAATACAGTTGTATCAGAAAATGCTAAGCTTCGTGGAGAGATTGAGACATTGTTAAAAGAAAGAGCACAATTTACAACACTCTGGAATAAATTAATTGGTCAATTAAATACTGGAAAGCAAATTATTAACGATTTGATCGAACAAGCTACTGTAACTTTTAATCAAAGGGACGAAGAGATGAACAAGATTCAAGCTCTTCGTGAAAGGTATCTTTATATCTAGTTAGGATGTAAACAATTGTTCTTAATAATTACTTCAATTTAATCTTAGAGCAACGAGGGATCTTAATGCTCATACAGCAGAAATGTGTGAACTCCAAAGAACTCTGGACAATGAGATGAAATTACAGGAATTCCTTGGGGTCAAAGGTCAATATAGAAGAACCGTAGATTTGCATGTGAAACAGGAAGCTGAGAGAGCTGCTAAAAGACGAGAACAACAAGATAAAATAGCTACTTATATGCATATTCTTGAAACGATCAAAGAATTTACAGGTAATATTATTTTCACGACTTTTATGTTAACAATTTTCTATTTCTGAACGTTATATTTAGGTGAGAGCAATATTGACAGAATTGTAGCTCACTTTGTCAAGCAAGAGGAAGAAAATTTTGCACTCTTTAATTATGTTAATGAACTCAATGATGAAATGGAGAGTCTTCAATTAAAGATGGCTGAGTTGACAGTTGCCATTGACGAGGCAAGAGCATTGCATGAATTTAGAGAAAAACAACAGGCAGAAACGTTAGAAACTATTACAAATCAATTGGAAGAACAGACTAAGCTTGCGGATGATGCTGAAGAAGAACTTTCAAAGGTAACATTTGATTACTATTATTACTCTTACTCGGATTACTATCTTCATCTTTTATTTTCCTTTTTTAGTGCGATGACGAGATAGAAAAAATGCTGAAGGGAATAGAGGCTCTCTTTAAGGCTGTTAAATGCGATAATTCACCTATTCTACAATTACTGGGTGACAATTCTCATGTTACCATGGGCAATGTTATGCTGTATCTTGGTATTATCGAAAAACGTATCACAGAAATGATGCATAAAGTTTATTGGGTCGACAAAGCTACCAAGTCCCAACAATTAAGACTTGACGAAGACAAAAAACCAAGATTAAAAATTCCTTCTCTCACACAAATTGCTCCTACCCAACCTTGTGCCCTGTGAGTCCTTAATATTTACCTTTTCCTTCAGTTCCATCAGTTCCTATGATTTCCTATATATTCTTAAATAATAATATATTTAACCACATAGCTGCGTTGAGAAAGAAGAAATGCAGATAATGACCGAAGGCTTAGAAATTCCACTCTCTCGAGAAGAAGCAATAGAGAAATTGAAACAACATCTAGAAGATGATTACTCTGAATTACTTCATAATGTATCCGGTTGTCATTTACCAGCTGCTAGAAAAATCATGCAAAAACGTTATCAAGAATAATCTTAAAATAAAGTCATTAAATTAAATTAATATCGTCTGTGACAGATGTTTTTTTTTTTTTATTGATTTTTATATTATGACTAAACTTTCGCTGCTACCTTCTTAGTAGTACTTATAATACGTCTTAGCTCTAAAATAGTACGCTTGATGTTAAGCAATTGTTGTTCAATATCATCGTCGGCTACTGTTAGAGGAATTCCTTTTCTTTGACAAATCTGATGATAAAGATTTCTACAACAGGTTTTAACTCTCGTTAACTCTAAATATTTCTCAATCGCTGCCTCTTTTATTTTCGAAACTAAAGTTTCCCATTTTAAAGCTTGCACTTTCGCTTTTTCGTATCGTCCTTGTAGCATTGACAATTTATTGTTTAATCTGATCAACGTTTGCGACTTTACATCCGTCATATGATGCTACAAAATTAAATATCGAATCAAGTTGTTTAAATAACAAAATAAAATGAAATTGGCTTACTATGTTTGTTTCGGTTTCCTCTAATAATTGTATGTTTTTATCCTGATCTTCGGAAAGAGATGCCTTAGCTTCGATTAAAGATTCGTATCGTTGAAAAATGTCCGTTATCGATTTAAAACTTCCGGTTTCATTGACAACCCTTTCGAGATAATTTTGATACTTTCTATAAATTTCTACATGTTTTTGCATCTTCTCGCACATTCCTTTCATATAATTTAACTTTTCTTCTAAATCATCGACCTAAACGAATATATTTATTATTATATTTAAATTGCATAAATTAATAATACAAAAATTAATAATTGCTTACATCTTCTTGATATTTCGTTTGTCTTTCCCGCTCTTCGCTAATTTTTCGTTTCGCGCGTTGTCGTTTTTCTTGATTTTCTTTAACAAAAGTATTATACTTTATGAAAGATTCTCGAAATATTAATTCTTGTTCCCTTAAATTATTCCACTGTTCATCCATTTCCTTTCTTTTCTCTTCTTGTTCGATCCATTTTTCACGTAATTTTTGTTCAGAAATATTTAAATCTCTACGTGCTTTTATTAATTCAAATGCTGGATTAATTCGCGGGACATCCCATTCTGGATATTTTCTATTAAAAGGCGCGCAATTTAAAATTACATTAATAGTTTTCAAAGGAATTTCAAAGATTTTTACTTTACCAATAATATATTTTTATAATTTTTTATTTACTTGATATTCTGTGCCTCTTGTTTGGATAAATACAATTCTTTAACACCTTCGAGAGAATTTTTGGGAATTTCTGCTCGTTTGACGAAATCCAAATTATTTTTTCTATGTGCCGTCGCCATTATTTCTTTCTTAAATATAATGTCTCGGTGTTTTTGAAATTCTTATTAATCAAATTTTTCTACGTCTTTATAAAGGTTATCTTATTATCGATCAAACAGAGATTTCATTGCTAAGTGACCTAACTTAAGAGTTAACTTTATATATAGGATATACTACTATATCTAGGCTAAACTGAAGAAAAGTGTATATAAAAAATAATGAACTTTTATTTTCTCCCCAAGATGTTCACAGGTAACATAGCAACAAATAAAATACTAACAAGCCGTATACATTAATTTTGGGATTATGATAAATAAAATTTCTTTTTTTTTATACCATTTTCATATAGGTATTTGACAATTTTCACGAATGTCCTTCTTGTCCTAATAGTGACAACTGTTTAAGAAGCTGTTTAGCATTTATAAAAGATGTTGAACCATATACAATTCTTTTATTAACTCCTGCACCACTTTTTTGCTTCACATAATCAGCTAAATTCTGATATTCAATATAATTTCCACCACCAACGATAAAAACTATCACTTCTTGGAATGTTGGTCGATTTTTAGGCATCTGCTCGGAATATTTCAATTGCTTTGGATCCAAATAACAATATTCTTCGGTTTGAGATGATATCCTTGATTCTATAAGTTCATCAACTATTTTTGTTACTGGTAAATTGTGTTTTTTAACAACCAAATTCTTAACTCCTTCCATTACAAAAGAAGATCCTTGATTCATGAGTTTTGAAAACATACTGACGGTTTTGGTTCCACCACCTTCATAACTACTTTGAATTTCTGCTATTCTAGTATAACTCCTTAGTCTTTTAATATATAGTAAAGGACTTAAATCGCAGCCTGCAGTTTCTAAAGCAGCTTCCAGTTTGTTATAATCTGCATCAGACATATTATTTGTACAAATGTAATATATAATGGCTAATCTAAGTTTGTCTTCAGGTGTACCACAATCTGGCTCGCTTATCGTATCAAATACACTTCTATCCAATGTTTGTTTACTCATGATTTTTTCCTCCAACTCAAAATATGTATCAAGACGTCTGGATTTGATGCAATTTAAAATACCAGTAGCTATAGAAGTATGCATATCTATCAAACGTTTCATTTCTAAAAGTTGTGGTAATGAATTTACTGCGCTTGTTAATTTAGCAGTATTTGTAGAAACCATAGATAAGGCAACCTCGCTTTCATTATCTATACCCATAGAAGACTTTAGTTTTTTAACATCTTCTTCATAAGTTCGATACTGTTCTAATTCTTCTTGAATAGCTTCTGCTACTCTTGGAAATGGACTACCCTTATGTTGACACCAGAAACGGTCTCTGCTATCTAATTCGTATGCTCTGGTTTTAGAACGAGTTCCACCTGCAGGAGACTTTCCAATATTTTCTTCTACTACCAATCTATTCAATGCCATTTCTAATACATCATGGGCCAATGCTTGATAAGTCCAGGTGTGATGTAAAGGAGTAGCCATATCTACATTTCTATCTAGTACAATAAGTAAAGGTCTTTGGAAACTATAATGTCCAGATGTTTCTCCTTCAAAAAGATTATTTCTTGCATCCCAAACATTTTCTCGGATCTTTTTGTCAATCATTTTTGCAACCATTTCTGCAGCATTTCCTCTAGGACAACGAATAATTGGGACTGTTCCCATTGTAACAAACACAGAAAATAAACAATCCACTATTATTTCCATAACAGATTCTATTTCGCTATCTTTCACATCTCCTCTGTTGATAGCATGATATGATATAATGTCACTGTTTTGATGCCTCAATATAAAAAGATCATCCTCTAAAGTAATAAAATTCAAATATTGATCGTATACTTTATGAATATTAGAGACAACTCCTCCTAACAAAGCAGCAGATGCTAAATCTTCCATTTTTTGTCTAGATATTGGAGATATAAAATTTAAATAATACATATCATAAAGACCATTCTGTAAATCTTGTCCGATTCTTCCCAAATTTTCATTGGTAGGTGCACAAAAATATATGGCCGGTACCTCAGGAATAGAATCTCTGTCTGAATGCAATTGCATATGAAGAGTAATACCTTGCTCTCTCAATTCTTTAACAGATATCAATGGTGAAATAATATCCTGACCAAGTCTATCGTAGATCAATATTTTCCATGCTGGTATTGCCTCGTCGTGCTTTTGTTCAGGTTGATTTAAATTTAACATTTGCTTCAGAGCATTTATTTGTTTATCCCTTAAACTCAACATTATAATCACAATATATTATCTCAAAATTATAAATAAAATAATATCTATCGAAATGCAACTTGCAACGTCATCAATAATAACCTAGAGTAATATTGATACCGACAAATACACAGAACTTTCAATCTTTCAATTGACTCTCGTATCCATTTAGCATTCTAACCTACCAACAATACTAGATCATTTATTAACCTATAACATAAGGCTAGTAACAAAAATAAATATATCCCTATGGCGCCTAACCACGTCATTGGCTCAAAAATAGTATTACAATTATAGATATTATTTTTCAACAAAAATCCAATAAAAATACGTCTCTCTATTAAATATTTGTCTTATTTTATTATTATGTTAAAAGAAAACAAATATATGAAGAAAATAAATCATTTTTGAATAACATACTAAATTATTAAAAGGTTAGGAGGCGGAATCGGAAGATGCCCTATATAACTAATAAGTGGCCTACGTGAGATTTTGAAGAAACATGGAGACTTTAGTCCAATCGAGACTTTGTTGTAGCAACACTGCCCGGCAGGAAAATGGCGAAAAAATCGTATTGGGCAAGTAATATCTACGAAAAGCTAATCGTAATTTCAATTATCTGTCTGTGACATGTAAATAATGAAAAAGGATTAATTCATATATCGACGCAAGAATTGTTTCGATATTTGTGAAGTAAAAAACTTTAAGCATTCTACGAGTTTTCGATGATACGTTTCTGACAGCATGTCCACAATGGCCGATGATTCTACTTCTTTGCCAAAAAGGCGTCAATTGGTAAACAAACATTTTATTAACTAACTATCGACCAAAAAAATCTATAATAATTTATCGAATAGTTTTATAATATATGTTTACATTACCTACTAAGTATATAACTTTCATCATTTCTTTTGTTTTGTGCATGTGTGAAGGGGTGAAAAATACAGTGAGAGTGAGTGAGAGGGAGAAAGAATATAAGAAATATAATATTTCATTGTTTTTTCTTATATTATTCCATTTTTTTATATATTTATACATATATACATATACATGCATATAAATTAAATATAGAGAGAGAGAACGAGAAAGTTGTACACCGATGATTGGGCTATTGGCGATGAAGAAATTGAAGGACGTAGAACTTTTCAGCTCGATGAAAAGATTGAGTGCGACAGATATGATCTCAGTCATTTTACTGGATTATTCCGTGAAATGAATGGAACAGAATTGAATCTTGCATATCTTCAGAAGCATGGACTTGGAATACCCTTATTGTTTAAGGACAAAACTGGACTTGGTTTAAGAGTACCTAGCTCTAACTTTACCGTCAATGATGTTAGAACTTGCGTTGGTATGTCATTATCTTATATACTTTTCTTATCGACAATGATAGATATATTTAAATATAAATAATAATGTGTATTTTCTTGTCTTAGGTTCTAAAAGGATACTTGATGTTATGGATGTTAATACCCAGAAAAATGAAGACATGACAATGAAGGAATGGCAGAAATATTATGAAGATCAAAATAAAGAACGTTTATTGAATGTAATATCGCTGGAATTTAGTCATACTAAATTGGAAAATTATGTGCAGTCACCAACTTTGGTTCGTCAAGTTGATTGGGTAGATGTTATATGGCCGAGACACTTGAAAGAGTCTCAAGTAGAATCTACAAATCTTTTGGAAGATATGATGTATCCAAAAGTACAGAAGTATTGTTTAATGTCGGTGAAAGGATGTTATACAGATTTTCATGTTGATTTTGGTGGAACCAGTGTATGGTATCATATATTACGTGGTGGAAAGATCTTTTGGCTAATTCCACCTACAGAAAAGAATTTGACTCTTTATCAAGAATGGGTATTAAGTGGAAAGCAATCAGATGTATTTTTTGGTGATATGGTGGATAGATGCGGCAGAATAAGTCTTACTGCAGGAATGACTTTGTTTATACCAACTGGATGGATTCATGCAGTTTACACACCTCAAGATTCTTTAGTATTTGGTGGCAATTTTCTTCATAGCTTTGGTATTGAAAAACAATTGAAAGTTGCCCAAGTTGAGGAACATACTAAAGTGCCTCAGAAATTTCGCTATCCTTTTTTTACAGAAATGTTATGGTATGTGCTCAATGATGAAGCACATCTCTAACAGCTATTTTTATTTCATTTATATATTAATATTTTATTGCAGGTATGTTCTCGAAAGATACGTACACGTTCTACTAGGCAGAAGTCACTTGGATATATCTGAATCCCAAAGGCAACATTTAGTTCCACAACATCATCAACATGTCCATCTTACACCTTACGAATTACATGGTTTAAAAGCAATTGTCATGTATTTGCATTCATTGCCATCTTCGAAAAAGAATGTGCCTGAATTAATACACGATCCCGTTGCCCTGATTCATGATGTTAGATGTCTAGTCGAACAACACCGACACGATAGTCCTGAAGCAGCTGTAACTGGTAATCCAGTCTTACCACCACCGCCGGCATTGACTATAGCAGAAGGAGTAAATAATATCAGAATATGCAATAAACTTTGAATGTACTCTTTTATATACAATTTAAATACAATGTCTTATTTTAATTAGGAACGTATGAGGATAACAAAGAAATCTTTTGTGAAAATACAAAGGCATCATTCTCAAGAAAAATCAGAAAGAGCATATCCAAGAAGAAGACGTACTAGATGCAAAAAGTGTGAGGCATGTACGAGAACAGATTGCGGAGAATGTTTGTACTGTCAAGATATGGTGAAATTTGGTGGTAGTGGACGTGCCAAGCAGACGTGTTTGATGAGACAGTGCCTTAGGCCCATGCTACCAGTTACAGCAGCTTGTAAAGTATGCCAATTGGATGGTTGGGGTCAACAACCTGCTCCACTAATGGGTATTTATATATCAATATATGTTAGATCAAGTTAAGATAAAAATATGTAATCAGTTTGTTTGATAATTGTTTATTTATAGGTAAACCTACACCGACAGCACCATCGAGATTAGTAGAATGCTCCATATGTTTTGACATAGTTCATCCAGAATGTATAGGATTGGACCCACAAAGAATAACTGTAAGCGATGATTTACCAAATAGCTGGGAGTGTCCTCAATGCTGTGAAAGTGGTAGAAACTTGGATTACAGACCACGACAGCCAAAAGCACGTGCTCGTAAACTTTCAGCATCTAGTGCAGCCTCGTCAACACCTACAACAGATTCTGAAAGAGCCATGACGCCAAGTAAAAGATCGAGACTCGATCCAAATGAGGTAAGTGTACTTACTAGAAGACTAAAAGATTTAAATTATCATTATTTTTTGAATAATAATAATAATAATAATAATAATCATTACGATATGAGCACGAATGAAATGAAATAAAATTACAGACCTGGAATGATAGAGAACCAGCTGAAGGCGAGCAAAGGACTGCTTTACGTACACAATTAGCTGTACAGTTAACTGGTTCAAGTAGTAAATCATTGAAGAGGCCTCACGTAGTAGTTAGGCCTGTTTCATTACCCCCTGTACAAAGATCTGGGTCAGATTTTAATGGACAATCGTTAGTTTATGACAAAACAGCTATACTAGCTGTTTTTAGATATTTGAACGCAAAAGACTTAGCAAATTGTGCCCTGGTTTGTCGTACATGGGGAAAATATAGTATAGATCCAAGCTTGTGGAGAAAACTTGATATGTCTCATTCTCATTTGACTGCCTCACATTTAACCGGTATTGCAAGAAGACAACCTGAGAGTCTCTCACTTGATTGGACCAGTGTAACAAAGCAACAGCTTGCTTGGCTATTAGGTAGATTACCGCAACTTCGTTCTTTGTCGTTACAAGGTTGCTCATGGACAGGAGTTTGCGCTTTGAGAACTTGTAGCTGTCCTCCGCTCGTTACTTTGGATTTGAGTAATGTAGCTGGATTGAATGATTCCAGTCTAAGAGAAGTTCTCAGTCCTCCAACAGATTCACGACCTGGTTTAATTGACAAAACCTCTAGACTTAAACATCTCAAAAATTTATCCTTGGCAGGATGCGAAATCACAGATATAGCATTAAGATATATAGTTCAACATTTGCCTTATATCGAAACATTAGATTTATCTTCTTGCGGAAGAGTTACCGATGCTGGTGTAGCTCAATTGGCAACACCACCAGCACAAGCAGTCACCAATCTGGCATCATTGAATTTAGCCAATTGCAGGCTACTCACGGAGATAACATTAGATCATCTTGCAAGGTGTAAAGTGCTTAAACGTTTGGATTTGAGACATACTACTCAAGTGTCTACACAATCAGTTATTAAGTTCGCTGCTAAAAGTATTCATAATTTGCACGTTACCGATGTTAAATTAGTTGAAGAGAAAAAGGTTAAATCCGAAGTTACGTGAAAGGAACGTGCCAACGACATTTTATGCTATGCTTTAATCAGTGCAATTAAGTTTTTGAGAAATACATAACGCAACAAAGTACGATAAGTGATTGGACAATCTTTGAATGAAATACGTATCACAATATTTATTTATTAATAGACCAGTTCGTAACACTGTAATGTTTGCTTGGATTACATTTAATCATCTGGATAATGTGAGGGAGAAAGAGATAAAGAGAGAAAGAGAGAAAAGTCAATTCGATAATATTGTGGAAGTATTCGTCTTGTTTTCTCAAATAGAGAAAATAGAACAAATATGTAATGCAACCCAATAGATAATTATTATCTTATCGATAGACTTTAATGAGAAACTAATTCTGAGTAAAATAGATTCATCATTTAAAATAATTAAATTTTATTATTTTATTATTATTTTTTTCTTTTCTTCTTTTTTTCTTCTTCTTTTCCTTTCATTCAATTATTCCAATAATGTATATTTTTACATTCAATTGGACATATTTAAATAGACGATAGTAGAATGAATCATTCCATCAGATCATTAAGCATGAATTACAATATTTTTTAAAATGACGCTTTAATAATAATATAAAAAGATAAACATTTTTTGAAAAATCATTTTCTTTTTTTCTTTTTATTTTTCTTTTTTTTTTTTTGTAATTTTTAAGTAAACGATGTGGAAAGTGTGAAAGGGATATATATAAATATCCAAACGTGAAATGAGAAAAAGGTAAATTATTAATAGAAAAACAAATTAAATTTATGCATGCAATGCCTATGAAAGCAACAAAATATACAAAGATTAGCTCACGCAAGAGATGCAATTTTTTTTTCCTCTCGTTTTTATAATAATAATAATAATAATAATAATAATAATAATAATAATAATATTAACGTCAGATTTATTTTGTATTAACGTAAGAAAACTATCATCATGTTCTAATCAACCAAATGTATATAAGCCTGCCTTGATTTTATAAAGTATTTCTCAGTTGTTCTAATTAATATATGTATTATATATACATGCAGATAACAATGGAAAAAAAAAAAATAATAGCATTAAGCAATATTAAGGCTCATAACGAGATGTTACTTATATATAATACATTGAGTGTACTTTATAATTTAATAACTCGTACGGAAAAGTACTGTGCGATGTAGAAGCGTTATTTATGTTAAAAGTATTTCAACAACAAAAGTATTCTTCTTTCTTAAATCATCTCTTTTTTTTTTTTCTTTTCTTTTTCTTTAACTAAAGAAACTGTAAAAAAAAAAAAAAAACACTCACAATGAAACACATCTTTTGTTTAATTCATTCATTTTGACTTGTTTGTACTGTAATATTTTTTCAATGTCAACGTCTAATCTTTTTGATTCAAGCTTCTCTTAGAAGGATTAAGAAGATGAAGGTTGTAATATTCTCTAAAATACATTGTATAATATATGTAATTTAGATATTATAATAGTAATATATATATGTGTGTATACATATATATATATATAATACATTGTGTATTTATATATGTGTGTGTGTATGTATATATATATAATTTCAAAATATAAATCGAATTTTATGATGAAATCTTCATTCGTACCAGCTACCCAGATGACTATTTAATAATCAGAAAAGTTACAAATTCTAATGCAAATACCTGCTATCAAATATTACCTCGCATATAACTTTATAAATAAATATCAATTTGAAAAAAAGTCACGTGTAGCACTTAAATGTGTATGTATGAAAGTCCACCACACATATATAATGGTATTTGCATTATTGAAAATATAACAAAATCATGTTATGCCGGGTATGATTAGAAAAAGAAACAATTCTGTACTATATAAATAAAAAGATGTACATAATATAGGTATATTATGTTCCGTGTGTCAGAGTTACTGCTATTTCATATTTTAGTACAATCGACTTCAATTTATTTTTTTATTAATAATTATTATTTCTAATGTGTTTTTTTTTTATAGATATACTTTGAACAATCATATTTTCCCCAATCTAAGTGTAACTCCGTTTATATAGAAATAATTTATAAACATTTGAAATGTGTCTTTAGTCATAAGAAGAATATTTTGGTTCTTTTCTAATTATAAAAAAAAAAAAAAAAAGAAAAAAGAAAAGAGAGAAAGAAAATGATTATTGCATTTATTTTATCGATACATTTAACATTTTGAATCTAATGTACTCCATCGATAAAAATAAAATCTTATGTTCTTGATATATCTTAATAATTTTATTGTAAAACAATTTCTAATGTAACATATCTTTTCTTTTTTAAACTTCTTCTTTTGTACATTCAAATTTGATAGCATATGAGGCATGATTAATTTCGACCAATCAGGAGCAAGATGAGATTTAACGGACCAATGATATACGTGAGAGATTAGTTGCAAAATGTCGCTTATGGCGGATACTCGAAAGCAGATTCAATAGAAGTTTCTTATCATAGTTGTGTCGATGTTTTAAGGTTGTTCTAGTTATTTTAAATCGATTGAAAGTACACAGTAAATATTCAACTCCGCAGTAAAATTTTCAATTCCGCAGTACTCAATACAGTTGATGCAACGGCGTTTTTGAATTAGTTTGAAAATAAACGTTGAAGGCTAATAATGTAAGTTTTCCATATTCAGTTATAAAATAGCATTTTTTGTTTTTGTTTTGATAATTTAACATATAAAGGATAAATATATATATAAAAATGTGAAATATTAAATACAATATTATATATTATAGAGATTTAGTTAAATATTATTTTCATATATTACGTTCTGTATGAAGCTATTCAAAATGCTTTGTCAATGTAGCTGAAAATATCTAATTTTATTAAAAAAACATTTTACATGATATAGCAAAAAATAAAAAAAAAACGAGAATTGTGTAATCAAATGTTGTAATCAAAATCAAATGAATATCAAACGTAGGTGTATGCGTATTATTACGAGAGTGTTCTTTTTACCATTCATAAAATTCACTATATTTCAATATGTAATATTTATATGTGTAATATGTATACAATTGTTTGTACTTATTATTTATTTAACTTATATTGTAACTTAACCTAATTCTGCCAAGACAGAATCCAAATCTTCTTGCAAAGTAATACTTTCTTCTCGTTGCTTGGCTAAATCGTCTTTGAGTCTGTCAACTTGAGCTTTTAAAAGATAATTACCTTTTTTTAATGCAGCCAATCGATTTTCGTGTCTCTTCACGCGTTTCTACAAAAAGTAAGATATATATGATTGATGAACAAATTTTAAATGTATTATTGCTAATGCTATTTAAACGCATACTTGTAGAATATCTTTCTCTTGTTCCATATTATGACCTCCTTCATCTATTTCAGATTCTTCTTCTTCTTCTTCCGACTCTTCAGATTCAGATTCTTCTTCAGACTCAGTTTCCTCGTCTTCTTCTTCATCTTCTTCTTCATCGTCTCCGTCTGTATCAGCCATTAACTTGGCCATTTTGTCAACTTCTTTTTGCAATTGCTTAAACTTCCGTTTCTCTTCTTTCAATAATTTCAGTTGCTGCTTTATTTGTTCCTTCAAGGCATGTCTCTCTTTTCTTGCATTAACGGCTTTGTCCCTAATGTAATAAAATACATACATTTTAGAAAGAGTTGATTATTTTTTTTAGAGAAATAATCTTACTACACACATAAAGTTCTTCACTTTGGACGATAATAATTTAATTTCTCTCTGTAGACGTTTCTCAGCGGATATTTTTGGATCTTCTTCCTCCTCTTCCTCCGTACTTTCTTCTTCCTCTTCTTCTGTTTCGCTCATTTCCTGTTGTTTATTGTCCATACTCTTTTGAGATGCAATTCTTGCAACGTCCTTTGCACTTGGACATCCAGCCAATGCCATTCCTGAAAAATTGTACCATGCCTCTTCTGTCTTATCCTCAGCTAATTCCACAATTGGTTCAGTATTGTTATCATAATCATCATCATCATCATCATCATCATCATCATAATCATCATCATCATCATCCGTGTTATCTACACAACTTTCTCCTAAAAAGCACAATTAGTAGAAGCGTTATAGCCAGCTGAAGCAAAGCAATATAGAAAATTGAGACGCAGTTAGTGCAGCTGCAAATAATAAAGCTAATTAGAATGTTAATGAACATATATACAATATTTAAATGTAATTTAGAATGAAATGTTTTCCTCAAAACATACCCGCCTTCATACGCTTCTCCAAATTGGCATACATTCGCTTCATTTCTTCCAATTCATTTTTATACTTGTCTCTTTCCTCTGCTGTACTAGCATATTCTTTTTCTAATCTCTCTGCGTCCTTTCTTGCTCTATGAGCTTCCTCTTTCAAAGACTCCGTCAATTTTTCATCCTGTTGTTTGTATTCTTGAACGTTTCTTTGCGATCTCGTTCGTTCCACCTCAGCCTCGAGATTTAAAATTCTTGCCTGTAAAAGGAAAATGTGTGTGTCGATGTTTGTTTAATGAAAATGATTGATTCTTTAAATGCACACACGATTGTTAAAATCACCTGTAATCTTTTATTTTCTCTTTCAAGAGCCTCTTTGTTTCTAAGTTCAATGGCAAGCATTTGTTTAGTACTTTGCAAATCGTCTCTAACTGCATCGATATCATCGTCATCTATTACATCATCTGGCTCTGCTTCAGCCTCAACTTTTTGCATTTGTTCCTCTATCGTCAATTGTCTTCTAAATTTCCTAAGACCCTCCAATATCGGTTTAGATCTGTCGTTGGTCTTAACGCTTTTCAATTTAACGCCCTGCTGAATTTGCTTCAGCAATTGATTGTGCATGTTTGACTTTTCTGATTCGAATACAAAATGGGCCTTACCTGTTTCAAGAGAGAAAAGGATAAAAAAACAAAGAAAGACAAGAGTCGTCTTTAAAGTCGTCTTGCTCGTTTTTAAAGAAATCCTTTTGAGCGAAACCTTGACACAAACCTTCAATTATATACTATACGAGTCATAATTCATTATTTGATCATTAATTATTTAAAGGAAAAGAAACATACTTGAAATAGAAAGAGGAGACAAGAAGAGAGGGGAGGTAGAGATTAATTCACAAAGAAGGAAGGAAGGAAGGAAGGAAGGAAGAAAGGGAGAGAAAAAGAGAGAAAAAGAGAGACAGACCGGTGGTTAATTTCCACGACATGTAATAAGCAATTTAATTGGCTTTATATTTTAACAATGAACATAAGACACCAACGTAAGGTTTCTCTTCGTTCTCACGAGAAGGAGGAGAAGGAGAAGGGAGGATCAGGGGTAGTATGAAAGCAAACGAGGATAATAAATATGGTATTTGTACTACAAACACAAGATATTGATCATAATACAGCCTACGGGAAACGTTAATTGAACGATAACTCATTAACAATGTAATTAACTTCTCATCTGTTTGATTGGAAAAAAGGTTGGTAGGTGAGAAGAAGGGGGAATAGCGGTTATTGAAAGGTAGGACCGAGATAAAATCGAGGATCACCTGCTGGATCAGCTGTGACCTTGTTAACCCTTTCAATTAATGGTGCACTTCTGTCGTTGCAAGTGACGTGTCTGAGACGTCTACCACTTTCAACTTCCTTCATCATGCTCGCCCAGTCGGGACGTTTCCTAGGTCTAGATTTCAGCATTTCCAATTGTTGTTCCTGACTTTCAGTTAACGGTGGTAGATCCTTTAGGATAACTCGACTTGGTGGTGGCGGAGGTGGCCTTGGCGGGGGTGGAGGTGGAATGGCTGCTCTCGAGGAACTCTTTGACAACGTTGGTGCACCTGCAAATTATACAAAAGTCCCAATTAATGTTTACATTTGAAATCTATAAGCTTGAATTAGTAAATAACTTTTAGTCCATTGAAAATTGAATTAGAGGGTTCCTACCAGTGGTACTTTCGCTCTTGGAAAGTGGTATAGTGTCACCTCGAGATCGAGATCTCTCAATACGAAGTTGTCGTTCGAGTTGCGGCCTCGAATTTGGCTCCTGCCGTCCATTCTCTCGTGGCTTTGATGATGGAGGTGTACTACTTGTCGTCGTAGTCGATTTTGCTGTTGCTGTTGCTGTTGCTGCTGCCGTAGTATTTTTTTCATTTTTTGGTTGAGACGGTATTATTGTGATTTTACTTTGTTTCCGTGGTGCTTGAGCAGGTTCGGTCGATTGTGGTGCTGGTTCCGTGGGTTTAGAAACACTCTGTTAACGAATATATTTAACGAAAACAACATTAATTGTAATTGTCAGGTGGAGAAGCATGGGAAGAAGCAGATGAGATTCGGGTCGGTCGTCACATGGTAACAATATTTTTCTCCTGATTCACTTGTATATTAATGTAATTGTAATTGTGCAATTATTCGGATGCACTTGTTTTTTTTATCGTCAGGATGATATGGATGAAAGAAAACGAGAGAGAAGCGACTAGTCATGAGAAAAAAATAGAGAAAGGGTAGAGAAGGGGGTGGAATTTTAATCTTGGCAAAGCGTCGACATTCGGTCGTCTTTAAATAATTCGAACATCCAATCATTTTTATTTCTTTTTTTATCGTCCAATAAGATCCAGACTCCAAATTAAAACTTTGTTTTCTTCAAAGTTTTATTTGATTATTGTTATTGTGTTGATGTCATGATAATGGGCGAATTGGAAAAGTGCAAAATCGTAGTTAGTTGTGATCTTGGGGACGCGTGTACTTTAACACGTAGAAGGCGTCATATAAAAGCGTTAGGAAACTGGCGGAAGACGCAGCTGGCAAGACATTTGAAATAGAAACCCGTGTTCTTTAAATAATCGTGACCCAGAGGAAGAAAGAGAGAGAATTTGTAAGCATTCGTAAGCATTCAGCAAGAGACGATCTTCAAGATCGTTTATACAATTGCGATGAAAATCTAAGCAAACAAGATATATGCAATTTTAATATTTTTCATTCGCAATTCGAATTGTAAATCTACAATTTCTGGCACACTTAGGTATATTTTACATTCGATCAATATCAAATTCGAGGATGATCTAATATTACGAAAACGTGTACAAATCGTTATGTAAATGAATGCAATCTTTCAAATGATTGTTTAAGTTCTTTCATCTTTCTCCTTCTCAACAAAACAAAGCTAAAAAGCTTCTTATCTACTTTGGCTTTTTTCCAACAAATTGAAAGTAAAAAGAGCGCGAACTAAAGATAAACAACAACAACAACAACAATAATAATAACAAAGAAATGAAATAAATTGAATGTTTTTACAGCGAGACAGCTGATCGAAAATTCTTATTTGAAGGAATCTACTGTAGTAATGATCATCGTATATAGTATGTGCACATATTGTTTAGTATACCAATGTAACAACACGAGTACAATGTTTTTCCAGATTTAAACGTTGAGAAATGTTTATAAGGCGTACACATTGCAGAACACTCCCACGTTTGCTATTAATACTTTGAGTTAGTTTTCAAGTTCTGACTTTGAAACCCAATACGTGAATGAAACAGAAATTCGCGAATTTCCATATTCTCATTTTTTTTGTTTTTTTGTTTTTTTCTAATAAATTTAATACAAGAAATTATAAATTTGATTTAAATTTTCTGTACATTATTTTATCATAAATGAAAAATACAAAAGTAGTAAAAATGATAAAAGAAAAAACATACCTTTAATGTAACTTTGGTGAAAGCTGGGGGTTCATCGGCCTTCGCCTTGGAGTCCCTTCGAGAATTGAGTGTCCAAGGTGCAGTGGGCATAGGTAGAGGATTGGGACCACCATCCTTGACCCAGGGTGGTCGAAAGGTAGTCCTTTGTTGCGGTGGCTGACCACCGGCACCAGGCATCTTAACAACTTCCTTTTGTCAAAGTTGACTTCGAGATTGTCTTCTAATCAATTAGAAAATAATTCTTAGCTAACTTAGCACGTTTTCTTTAGGACAAGTATGATACACCACTGACTACGAGTAAAATGAATTATTTTGAGAGAATGATCAAATGAAATAATAAGAAAAAGAAGTGGGGCGAGAACAAATGATGGTAGTAGGGATGATGATTTGGAAGTTAGGCTAATGACGTACAATCCACTTTTGTTTAAGATTGTTTGATTATTCTTTTTCTCTTGCCCCCCCTCTCTCTCTCTCTCTTTTTTACTGTCTTTTTTCTTTTTCAACAAATATATTATTGGAATTCACTCCGATGTGAACTCCGACAAGTTAGAAGATTTTTGAGAGTCTGGGAAAGATCGAGACCTGGACCATACACCGGAGCTCTATCCAACTGCACCTCCCTAACCGTGTGATATTTTGGTAGATCTGACGTCACGTAGTAGTCGTAAGCTCGAAATAGAAATTGATACTCCTTCTTTTTACTTGTCTTTTCTTCCTATATGACAATTTTTTTCTACCTTTCTTTCTTTCCTTCCTTCCTTCCTTCCTTCTTATACTACAGCTGAAGTTTGTTAATGTAAAGTAAAGACATGAATTATCATTGTATAGCAAATTGGATCTCTGTCCCTGTTTTGTTGCACATAAAAATGTCGTTTATTTTTAAAGAATCTTATCAGAATGGGACTACTTGACCTTGTTGAAGGGTTGGTGGGCGTCTCCGTGAAAGGCAGTATCAGTTGGCAGCGGAGAAACGCAATGAGGCGTATCTGAGGCATAATTATTACCAGCAGACAGCGAGATATTTTGAAAGAGAGAGCAGAATAGCTAAGCATTACGACTCTTGGAACGTGAAACTTGCCGATCCTAAGGGTAAGCTTGAGACAGAAGCTAGAAAGAAAACAAAGATCGATCAACTCCTAGAAAGGAGAAACAAATTGAGAAAACTTTTGAAGGAAGACGAAGAGATCTATCAAAGGGAATTGAACGAATTAAATAGACAACAAATCCAATCAAAAGTCGATCATTTGTCATTGGAAGAACTGAAAAAGAAATTGAAAGAAAAACGCATGGAACAGGATCTTTATTTGCCTATTACATGTCGAAGATTGCGTTCATATTTTCTCGATCCTAAACCAATTTCAAGTATTATTTCGAAACTTAATTATAGTCAAAGTACTACTAGTAACAATAGTAGTAGTAACAATAGTAATAATAATAATAATAATAATAATAGTAACAATAATGATTGTACGGAACGTGTATATTTAAAGGATACGACTAATTTACCTAAAACTAGCCAAGAAATAACTCGTAGCAATTCTTCTATTTGTGTCAAGGGTGGTGGTATGTCCAATTGGAACCATCAGAAGGATCAATGCGATAATAAAATTGAATTTAGAGCACGCAATCAAAAGTATTCGGCACGCTATGCACGTAGAAGTTTGGAAAATACAAATGTCAGACCTGGCCATGATTTTTCCGATTGTTTCTCGCATCGTTTACAGGAACAACCAATGATGACGACGAGAACTACTACGACAACTACTACGATGGAAAGGACAATGCAGAACAGCAACGTGGTGGACGACAACAATTCTAAGAGCGACGATGTCGTTGACGATGTTTCGACCGATGTTACGACCGATGTTACGACCGATGTTACGACCGAAGTCAATGATCAACAGGAGTCTACGATTATTCCTGTTGAGGTTCTTTCTGAAAAGGATTTAAGCTTAAACAGGACCGATCAAGAAAAAACAGCTGGTAATCTCCAACGCGATAACAAAGGCATAACAGATCATCACGATTTTGAAAGAGAAATGAATTATCCTTGGAGCAGAATGGATCCTCGCGATAAAAATCTGTCAGAAAAGATGTATCTCTTTTTGTCTTACAAAGATCTTTTATCGAAAATTAATGATCTTTTGAAGAGAGAAAATCATGCTTGCGAAAGACAAAGATGGGACGATGCTATTAGGCTAAGGGCTATGAAAAATGAATTAGAGTTGATTAGAGAGAAGCAAATTTATAACATGAAGAGTCTTGTCATGGATGAAGACGTTAGGGATAAGGCACTGAAAAATATCGAGAAGAGGGAATTGGAACTTGCTTGTCGGGAAAACGCATCCACCGATACATCTATGTATAGGTAATTTATTTATATAATAAATTAATAATAAATATGTTACCTTCTACGCTTCCTCATTCCATTATAAAATACAGCACAGTAACTCAGTGTTAAGGTTCTAAGGGCAAGCAGTTAAACCAAACTTTTTGTCCAATGTCGCAATAGCAACCCTGAATCATTCACAAACATTCAAATAGAAGTGCCAAGAAACATTTCGACCTACTTGTCTCATTCCAATGAATATTTCTAATGTTCCAATTACGAAAGAATGAAATACTCATCCTCCGCATTTCTTCCTTCCTTCCTTTCTTCCTTCCTTCCTTTCTTCCTTCCTTCCTACCGTTCTTTTACTTAAACAGAATAAAAATCAGACGAAATGTCGAAATGTTAATTCGTATGTTTGTTTAGCGATGGTGCAAAGGTACTTTGGGAGAAATGGGTCAAAGAGGATGACAAATTTATCATTAAGGATGCCTCAGCTCAAAGAGAAATTTTGATAAAACAACTGGAAGAGGAATTTGAAAATTTAGCTATTGAAGACAAGGAACGAATCGTTAAGAGTTATCGAAATGTTAATACCGATTCACATGTGAAAAGTCGACGTCATTTTAATGCAGATACGTTTGAAATCCAATCGGCATCTAATTCGTCCGATATGAAATTCTAAAAATCTTTGCTTTCATATATTATTAGTTTAGGCATTTGTTGTCTCATTTTGCTGTCTCAATATTAATTAATGGAAAATATAATCTAATTAATTGCAAATTAACCGATCCAAGAAAGTTTATAGTTCGAATCTGAACGACGTCTTTGGAACTAACTATGTATTTTATTGTCGTCTTTTAATGTTTTTGTGTTTACATATTATTTTTTCATTGTAAGTTTAAATTATGATCTCCCGTAAATTTGGTTGGTATGTGCCAATTTGATTTCGATAAATATCTTTGCGTTTGAATAATGCATTTTCGGTGAATTCATTTCTTATTAATTTTATATTTTAATAATGAACACGTACTCGTTCACGCCGTTGCGTACCACCGGTGGCCCACACTAGACTCTTATCGAGACATACCTATATTCATATTTCAAAACTATTATTATTATTATTAATTAAATTATTTATTTATTTTTTTTTTTTTTTTTTTATTTATTCTTGGCGTCGCTAAACAATGTCGCTAAACCGGCTCCGGCGTGGACGTGTTAAATATATATAACATAATGCTACAAATGTTCTTATATAATAAATAAATTAATCACTCGTAAAACTATATCTGTGTAATCATTGTTAAATAATAAATAAAATCGAATATCAATGAAATATTTTTTATAAATATCAATCTAATCTTTCAATTAGATTGAGTTTAAAAAAAAAAATTAATGATTTCTGTTTTATCGACCGGTGTTAAGGTAGATCAAGTCACGTGGTCAGTAGTTTAGCCGTAGTTTCTTAGATGGCAGCACCGAACTCTTTTCCATTTGATTATAGAAGCGGGAAAATTATTTTTCAATTAATTTAATTCAAATTTCATTATTGTTTGTTTGATTTTATTTAAAAATCCCACATAAACAAAATCCCCATAACTCCATTATATTTTCTAAATGTAATTTTAAAGAATCGTAAGTAAAAGCATATCTGGTGTTCTTCCTAAAGAATTATATATGTAAAATAATGCGTACACGTATCCAAATGCAGCAAAAATAGAAATAAAAAAGAAAAAGAGGAAGACAATTTCCAAGGCAATAAAATATTCTTGGGTAAAAAAAAAAGAAAAATCATCTTCACCTAGATTTGCTGAGCCTTTATTTCTCTTACGCTTAATTCCTCATCCCTTTTGGCGTGTAAGAAATTTGAAGAAACACTTTCGAATAGAGGTGGTCGTCGTTAATCTCACGAGCTGAGGCGGTTGACAAGTACCAAATTAGTCGGGTGATCCGTCAAAAAGCGCATTTCCGCGCGAGACCCAGGAACGAACCAATCAACAAGAGTTCCTTCAAAAGCGGGAGAGATATAAACACAAAGTACCACATGGTCTTGACCGAAAGTATCCGGTACTGCGCATGTGAGATGGAAATAGATGATGAGAGAAAGACAAAAATGCCACGACACATATCTACGAGATGAGTTGTAGATAGGTGGTGGTGGTAGGTGATGGTAGGTGGTGGTAGGTGGTGCGACCAAGACACTCGAATCGTGAGTGCAATGGTCCATGAAACCTGACTGGTTGCTCGGCACCACCCAAAGAGAGCAACAGAGACAGGGAGAGAGAGGAGAGGGATGCAGCCACGCCAGCTATGTTAATTAAACGCGTTTCTAGCAACCCTGCATAGGAAATGGGATGAAGAAAGAAGAAAGAAAGAAAGAAAGGAAGAAAAAAAATAGGATGTGGCTGCTGTAGTAGTTGCTGGAGGAGGACCGAGAAAGAGGGTGCCGGCTAATAACACGTCCCGTACGACGAACACACGCCACACGCTCTCCCCACTTGCTATTTGCCCCTACTACTACACTACTACAACTGATCTGAGTTCCACTCTTTTCTCTCTCTCTCTCTCTCTTATAGGCAATTATAGTGTCTCTATGGATATCCAATGAGTATTTTTCAGATGAGAAATTAATGGGTTAATGATTCAATGATTAGGAAGCGTTTTTCTGCTGTTATTTAGAAGTAATTAGCGTGATTGGGTAAGTGGAATCTATCCTTTTTAGTTTGACGATTGTTGTTGTTAGATAAGACATAAGTTGCGTCTAACTTGTGATAAATAAATGAATGAAAAAATGTATGGAAAAGTAGACCGAGAGAGTAAGGGGAAGACGTTGAAAAAGGAAATTACGTCTTTGACAAATTAGCCTGCCAATAGCAGTCGGTATACTCTTTGGTAAAGACTTGAAGCATTTCGCGGAAATGTTCTCTGCGTAGGGACCACGTGCTTTCATGGTTTCCCTGTTAAAGGGAAGACCCAATTAAGAGTGCATATGTCCGAACGATGAACCAACTTAATCATCGCCACGAAAATGTTCCTTCCCTTGACAACTGGATTAACCCTCGCAACAGCTCTACATTTCTTTTTTTATTCAAATACCTAAGAACAAATAATAAATTAGCAAATTTTGAAAAAGAAATGGTGTCTTCTTACTCGAAATAAACAAACGTTACAAAGAGATTTTCATTTAAAACGAGACACCCAATATATCTATATACATTTGTATAGAGAGGTTCGTTATTAAATGAATTATACGACTACGATTTCGTTCGGCGCGAAAATTTATTACATTCCGATTAATATCCCTCGCAGCACAATGGCGCGTGCACTCGTTACAATACATCGGATTACATCGTTTTGCCATCTCTTTGCGTATTGCACAGAACAAATTTACCATAGCGTACTACTAGTGCAAAGTCTCCAAATATTTTTTACAAATATAACAAAAGGAACTTTACTCTTTTTCTCTTTGACTACAAACCTTGTCAAACATATTTAATATCGATAATTAAATAAGTCATTAATTAAAAGCTACAGATTTTATTACAGTAAAAAAAGCTCTTTTTTCTTCATAGATATATTTTTCAAATACGACAACGAATTGATCTCTCATAACTAAATTATCAGACTAATTTAAAGTCGAGAGAGAGAGAGATGCGGAAACTTTAGACTCTTCTCTCTCTGTTTCATTAAATTTTGTTGCGTTCACTTGAAACGTTCATTGGTCCAGCCGTTGTTCCTTCGAACTCAACCACGGACATGGCAATTACCGTGAATTAGCATTTCTCTCGGTTCACCGAGATAGAAAAAGGCCGCCGACCGACAGACAGACAGCCAGACAGACAGAAGGAAAAAAGAAAGAAAGAAAGAAAGAAATAAATAAATAAATAAAAAAATGGAGAAAGAAGAATTTAGAAAAGAAATTGGCGAATGTTTGTATTTGTTGTAGAATTGTCAGCAAAGAAATAATGATTTTCTCACGCTACCGAGACGTTACTAAGAACAAATAATTAAATTGTGTCTTTGAGAACGGAACGAAAGGATGGCGGACGGAAATCTACACGCAAACGTGATTTTCGCGATATAGTTTTTGCGGTTAGACGACGGCGATCTTGCTCGGTGCTTAGGCTTCTTTCCCTTCTCGAAATGGACTCTCGCTAGCTACTTCTCTCTTTCTCTTGGTATATTAGAAAGCCGTTACAACGTGGCTCGCCACTTATTTTCTCCATATCGAGAACTACGCAATTTGTCTTATCTCAAAACAATAATTTCTTGAGAACAACTCCGAAGGTTATTACGATGAACGGTTGCAAAAGATTACATTATTTTCTATTTCATAGTAAACATTGTTCTATCCTTTCTTTTTACATATGTAATTATTGAACTAAATGATTTGGAAAAATGATTCATGATCATCCGACAACAACCAAATCACCACCACCGCAATCAATCCTAATTTAACCACAAAAATAACAATAACAAAACAACAAACAAAACAAGAGCTATCTCCCTTCTTCTCTCGAAATATTCAAAAGAGAAGGGAACAAAAAAAAGGGGAAAAAAATTGTGAAAAAATTGCAGCCTTCGGGCAGGGGGACTCTCTCGTGGCTTCCGCCGTTCCGCGATACGTTCTCCACCCTCTCTCCACCCTCTCTCCACCCTCTCTCCACCCTCTCACCTTCCGTCCACCTCCGTCCACCTCTCCAACGTCCTCTGCCTCCCACCAGGCTTCTTCGTTCGCACTTTCCGTTAAAGACATGCCGAAGAGTAAAGGAGAGAGACCGACAGACGGAAAGAATACTTCAAAGCACGCGTACCTTCACTTACATGCACCAGAGAGAGAGAGAGAGAGAGAGAGAGGGAGAGAGGAATATTGCTAAAGCACGCGTACGTTCACTTACCACGAGAGAGAAAGATAGGAATATCGTTGAATATCTATAGTTACATACACTATATGCAACTTTACCTCCCTCTCTTCTCTCCCCTTTAAGCAAGCCTGTTATGTAGAAAAATAAGTACGTTGAGCCACCTAGAAAGGTTTCACGTGTGCACGAGAGAGAGAGAGAAAGAGAGAGAATGCACTCTCGGCACCTTTTCCAACTTATTCTCTTTCCATCTTTTTCTATCCCCGTTGTTTTTCTGTATTTCTTTCTTTCTCTCTTGGTTGACGTCGTGTGTGCGTGTACACGTTTCCCTGTACACCACGTCTTACCGTCATCGACGACTACGACGACGACGACGACTACGACGACGACGACGACGACGAAGAAGAGAAGAGAAGAGGAGGACGTACGTCGATGCCTCTGTGTGTACATACATTAGGTACCTGTGCGTATATATAGGTACCTATCTATAGGTACCAAATGGTAAATGAGAGGGTAGACGTCAGGTCCGGACGCCCGCAGCTAGCGGCGACCCAAAGCTCCGTCTACCGCGGGGCTGTATGTGCCACCAGATCTAACGGGTGATCTGTTTTTTTTTAAATATAACTTTTATCCATCCCTTTTGTTTATTGTCTTTTTTTTACTACATTTTATACAAATTTGCAGCATTAACTTTGAAAATTTTCTTTCAATTTATTATCGCAAAGATAGATAAAACCTTCATTGATATACTTGCAAGTGTTCTAGGGATAAGAGCTTTTTATATTAATTTAAAAAGTAGCTAAAGAAATCCTATTATTTTCAATACTCTACACTCTCTAATCTACTTTTGTATATTTTCTATTTATCTCATTCTATGGCTATGTGTGTATTATATTTATATAAAAACAAACGTACGTAGGTATGTCATAAAAGCTCTAACGGAGTGCATAGTTTTATGCATAAAAGCGTGTCTCGCATTGATTCAACTCGTCCGATTGTAAAAAGGGATCGAGCGAGCGAGTTTTCGAATAAACAAACAGTTTTCTTTTTTTCTTTTTTTCTTTTTTTTTCGTTTTATTTCGTTTTATTTCGT